AAATTACATAATATGTATAATTTATTTAAATATATATATTTTAATATGAATATATATATTAAAATTAGAATATATATATAAATATTTAAATATATATATTTTAATATATATATATATATTAATATTTATTTATAATGAATATATATATAAATAATTTCAAATATATAAATATTTAAATATATATATTTTAATATATATATATATATTAATATTTATTTATAATAATAATATCAAAAATCAAATTTAATTTAATTTTTTATTTATAGAATTATATTTGTAATTATTTTTTTATTTAATAAAAAATATTCAACTATTACAATTTTTTTTTTAAATTCTTTAACAGATAATTTTTATACTAATAATTTAAAATAATAATTATTATAATTAATTCGTATTACAAATAAAATAACTAATTTTACTATATTCTTATTTATAAAATTTTTTTTTTTTAATATTAATAATTTTATTTAATTTAATTTAATCTATTAATTTCATAAATATCTTATTTAATCATATTTTAAATAAAAATTAAATATACTAAATTTCTATTACAAATTACATAATATTTAATTATAATTAATACAAAGATTATTATCTATATATTTTTATTTTTTATTACTTTATAATCTTGATTATCAATTTATGTTTTATACATAATATATATATATATATATTTATTTTTGTTTTTACTTATATTTTTTATTTTGAATATTATATTATTTTAAATTATATTTTTTATTAATAAAGAAATAATTTTATAATATTAAACAAAATTTTTTTATAATTTTGTAGCAAAAAATAAAAAAATAAATTTTAAATATATTATATTATTAATTTATAAGTTAGTATTATATTTTATTTTTTTGCAAAAAATAAATTTAAATATAAAAGATTAAATGCCAAATATCGAAAATTAATCAAATATAAAAAAAGGTTATCCAAAATTAAATTTATATATAATTTTTTTAACTAAAAAATAATAAAGGTCCATGGAATCTTTAAGAAGATAAAGAACTCTTAAATTGGGTATAAAATAATGGTCCTTAAAAATGGTAATAATGTTCCGAAACAATAAAAGGACGTAATAGTAAATAATGTAGAGAAAGATGGTTTAATAGTCTAAATCCAGATTTAAAGAAAGGAAATTGGACAATCGAAGAAGATTAAATTATATTTTAAGGTTATTTATAAAATGGATCATCTTGGAGTAGCATTTCTAAATAATTAAAAGGTAAGAAAAAAATTTAATAATAAAAAAATAAAATAATAGAAAATAACATATGCATATATAAATATTTCTTTTTTTATTTTTTTACGAATTATATAAATTTCTTATTATTCTTTTTTTTTTTACTTAAAAAAGGCAGAACCGAAAACTCTGTAAAAAATAGATTCTATAGTTCTTTGAGAAAGCTTATGAATGATTCTTAAAATAAAAAATTTGATATTTATAATAATTAAGATTCAATAAAAAATATAATAAATTAAGCATTAAATAAAGACTTATAATATGAAAGTAATAGTAATAATCAAGAAAAAGAAATAAATATTAATTAATAGAAATAAGAAAATATAAAATAATGTTAACATATAAATGAATTTATATAAAAAGACGATTATAATAATAAAGAAATAAATGAAAATAATAAAGAAATCGAAAATAAAATAAATAAATAAGATAAAATAAAATTAGAATAATAAAATAATGAATAATAGACTGATTCTAAAATTTAAATAAGTCCAAAATTAAATTTTTAAGAAGATAATAGTTCTAAAATTTATTAGAAAAGAAAATATATTCGAAAAGCCGAAAATGTTAATTATTAAGATTAGAATAAATTGTATTAATTGTTATAAAAAAGTAATATTTAAATAAAAGATTAAAAATGTCTTAAAGATTATTCCATCTTTTATAAAAAATATAAATAGAACAAACAAAAGAATTAATAAAAAGTAATTAAAAATAATATTGATAAAGCTTAAAAAGACTAAAATGAAGAAAATTAAAATATAATTGAAATAATAAATAATAATGATTCAAATAAATAATAAAAAATAAAATTCGAAATATTAGAAACTTAAATTTTGGAGTATTTTTAAAAAGGTGTTAATAATTTATTTAACAAATTCATAAAAGGAAATGTAATCTATTAATAATTTTTTTAAAAAAATATAAAAATAAATAGGAAAAAACTATAAATAAAATTAAATAATGTTATGATTAACATAAATATGAAACATAAGAAAATAAAATTCCTAATTCATGCTAATTAAATCAATAAATAATTAATAATTTTGAAAATAAAAGAAACTAAATAAGTGATTATGAATATGATATTTAAGATTCTTTAAATAATAGCATGAATTTAATAGATTAAAATGAATTTAATTAAATTATTAATGAATATAAAAGTATTTCTTAAGAAAAAATTGTAGATGAAAAAATGCATTTTTTATTAAATTAATTAAATACTTTAGAATCTATGCTTTTTGTAACTAAATAAGAGTTAAGCAAATTAGAATCTTAAGTAAAATATTAAAATGAATCATTTTTATATTGATATTTTAAATAAGATTATATAAAAATTATAATTATTATATGTATAAAGTTTCTGTATATTTAAAATTACGTTTATAAAATAGACTAATAAAAATTTATAAAATTTATACATTTATTAAATTATAAATATTAAAAAAATAGAAATTTATAATTTTTATAAATTTAATTATTATTAAATTTGAATAATATAATAAGAAAAGCTTATTTTAAAACTATATATTATTATAAAATAATAAAAATTTTTAAAAAATATATATGTTAATTTGATTAAAAATAATATATAAATAAAGATATAAATATATAAATATA